ACTGGTTTAAAAAATGTCAGAGGCGTCTAGTTTGACGGTACTGATTGCATATAAAAAAGCAGTTCGAAACAAACACCAGAAGCGTCTCTCCTGACGGTACTGGTTATAATAAAAGTCTTCAACATATCTTGTGTACAAACTGGCAAGATAAAAAGGAGGAGCATCTGCTCTGACGTTATTAAAAATTTCGAAGGCATCAACTATTATTAAAATTCTGTGTACTATTACTATGTGTTTGGGAAATTTCCTCACTTTCGAATCTCGTCATGAGATCGAGAGATCGCGAAATCTCCGTGAGCGCTGCGAGAGGATCGGGGGGTGAGAAAGGACGTGCAACGTGGCGAAAATGACTACTCTTCCGTTTCTTAAAAATGAGTCGAACGTTTAATTGTATGTACACTATATACAGGTGAGAGTTACTTGTCGTATCAGTTTGGGTGAGCGAGTCCGTCGAGCTCTCTTGTTCGCACAAGACCGTCGGGGGTGTGCCGCCAGTTGAGCCGGATGCCGGCTACAAGCAAGCGTGCACTTACAATGTGAGAGGCCTTTGCGCAGAACACCGATGCACTCGATTTGAGCACTTAACTAATGAGTCTGTCCCGGGTGAGCACTAATTGTCCATGTGAGATGGCACTGAGATGTGAGCACGATACTTTTCAGTCAGCCGATGCGAACTTTACCACAGCTTATTACGGCTGCTTTCACACGAAGACTGATGCTCTCTGAGCTTGCGCGCAAGCCCTCGAGCCATGTTCACGGGCCCGACACGTGCTCGTTACCCGGTCGCGCGGTCGCGCGCGCGGTGCCACTGGGCCTCGCGAATAACCGTGAGATGGCGAGGGCAGTACAATTGAGATCACTGGAGGAATCTCAAACACTATGAGACTATTATTTGAAAGTATCTATATAAAATTATTTTATTTAAATAGATGTATGAATATGTATACGAGTATATTAATATTTGTTATTATATATATGTGTATATTAAATGTTTTCATTTTTTGCAGACGACTGTTACTAAAGAGACTGGAAGAAGAAATAAATGGCATTAATAATAAGGGTAATGACGATGAATCTATCAGCAAATCAGTGAAATCACCGATTACCTCTGATATGATAGATTCAGAGTCTCATGCCCAAGAGATGTGCCAAAATATCAAAAGCAAAGGTAAGTGCAAAAGTGATCAATATTGTGAAGATGACGATACTCTTGTCATCGACAACCGTTTGGATGTGAATCGCATCCAAGTACATAAGGTTGAAGGTAATTGCATGGTGGATCCAAATTTCTTCTTGCAAGAAATGCATAGAACGTTTGATAATCATGCGCGAGGAGTAGAGTGCCATTTTCGAGATTGGGTACTCGTAAATTCTCGTCGTCGTGGATTTGAAACACAGTTCTTTTTTAAATGCCAAATGTGCAATTACGAAACAAGCGTTTGGTCACACTCGAAAGGTTGGTCACGAAGCCTTAAACATCAACACGGCAATAACAGCTGGAACTATCACAAGTGGGGTAGCTTTTGCCCAATTAGAAGAAATATGTGTAGCTGCGAATATGCCGTGTCTGTCTGAAAAGACATATATAAAACATCGAGAAATAATAATCGATGATTTTCAAAAAATAGCCATGGAAAATATGAAAATGGCATGCGAAGCTGAAAAGCGACTCGCTTTAGACAGAAACGAAGTTATCAATGGTGTTCCATATATAACCGTTGCAGCGGATGGTAGCTTTTTTTTTTTTTTTACGCAGGGGAATCCTTTATGGATACCCGGGCCCCGAGGAGGCATAAAATGCATCTCCCCTGGGGGTGGGACCCGGGTTATGTGGGACTGCCCTCCTAATGACGATCGGAGTGCACCCGACAAGCGTGCCGGGTGCGTGGCGTACCCACTAAACCCCTGCGGCGGCCTGCGCTGTGCTTTAGATTGGGGGGCGGCCAGGAAGTGACAGAGTCATATCGTCTGTACCGCCCCCCGCTTCTGTACCGCCCCCCGCAACAGCGGATGGTAGCTGGATGAAGAGATCGTATGGCACTGCATACGATTCACTTTCTGGTATTGGAGCTATCATCGGTTATCGTACACAAAAAGTCCTCTTTGTCGGTATCCGTAACAAATTTTGTACCGTTTGTAATATAGCGGAACGAAGAGGTACCAAAGCAAAAAGTCATAGATGCTATAAAAATTTTGACCGCAATGCAAGCTCTACAAAAATGGAGAGTGATGCTATTGTTGAAGGTTTTAAAAATAGTATCGAAATGCATGGACTGATTTTTAGAACAGTCATTGCCGATGGTGACAGCAATGTGTATCAGTCCATTATTGACAACAGACCATATAGACAGCAAATGGTAACAGTGAAAAAAATAGAATGCACAAATCATTTGCTACGTAATCTATGCAAAAAAACTCGTCGTACAGACGTCTGTGCCAAAACTGCATAGAAATCGTAACTTTATTTTGTGCCGAAATGTTGTAAGCAAAAACATTTTAAAAATTCGGAAAGAAGTTGTAGAAACAGCTGCTATTCGAAGACAGGGAAACGAGCCTCACCATTGCATGGCTATGGAATTACAAAAAGATATATTAAATATTCCTAGCCATATCTTTGGTGAACATAAGCGTTGCAAGGAACGTGGTCGTATATGCGAAAAGAATGATAAGACGAAGGGAAAAAATTATGTACCATTTCTCAAAATATACGGCCTTTATGAAAAAATACAGAGTGCTGTCACATATCTGAGCGCTTATTCCGATAGTTTGCTGTTTAATTTTACAAATAATCCCGCAGAATCGTTCAACTCGATAGTCTGCAAAGTAATCGGTGGAAAGCGCATCAATTTTGGTACACGAGGTTCTTACAACACAAGAATTGCAGGAGTCATA